TGTAGGTTAGTAATATTGGCTATACAATGAACACATTTAAGATAAATGTCTTTTTAAAAATTTTATTTCTGTCTTTGAAACATGTTTTCTTTAGCGTTCGGAAAAGAAAAGGCGATCGAGTCGGATTGTTAAGACGGACAGTTTCATTAATTTTTAGAAACCTGAAGGACTAAACACCTCCTTGTGAGAGGAAAAAATTGCCGACCTCATTTTTTGCTTAAAATTTTTTCCTTTTGAAACATGTAAAAATATGTGAAATTCAACAGACGACTGAAACTGGACTAGGGCATTTTTTTAAAATCGTTTAAAAGTTAAATGGGCAGGGGTAAAAAGCTAATTTAAAATATGCTCTTCAGTGAGAAAACGTAGTATCATTCCAGCAAAGGCTATGCAAAACAGTTTGCGCACTGTGTTTTGATTTGTAAATACATGGCCTTATTCTTTTACTGACAGGACTGGTGTGCAGCACATCGACCATAACGACGATGTGTTCATAAAGAAGTCAATTCTTAGGTTGATAAGAAATATTCATGTAGATAAGGTTAAATTAAGCCAAGTTCACTTTTTATAATAAATACGGTAGTTATTTCCCTGAAAGGCCAACCAAATCTATTGTGGTGTTATGTGTTCATGTTTGTCTTTGTTCCTTTTGTATGGGTGATTGAACTGGTTTTGCAAGTTGAGTGATGGATGATTGGTTTTGGTATGCAAGTTATTTTTAGATGATTTGGTTCTGGAATATAACATTTCTTGGTAACTCAGACCACTCCTTGTCTCGCTTTCGGAGTGAAAACAGCTTTAAAATATAGTTTACTCTCAGTGATTTCTTAATAGAAATACTTGCTTATATATTCAATTTATTTATTCAACTAGATTTCTTCTATTACAAGCCTGGTATGTATATTTGTATATATTTATTTGTGAAATTGTTTTTATTGTAATGTGAATTGTTGTGTAATAATTGTGTATTATGTATTTTGTGAAATGTATTTGTATTGTAAAATATTTGTTTGTATTGTGATGTCTCATACTTATTTTTATTTGTTACAGGTTTTATTCTTTATAGAATAAATCTATAAACGTTTCCAAGTGTTTCTTGTTGAAAACCCCACCACTACAAATTGGCTCCCAGACAACGGACAGGAATTATTGGAAGGCCAGGCGAGCTGTTCTCTGGTTGGAGGCCACCTGGAATCCAGCGGCAAAGACCAGAACGATCCCAGGAAACCTCACTGCGGCAACCAAGGCAGCAGTAGGAGAGATTTCTTACATCTGTACATAGGTATACCTCCCATCCCCAATTCCCCACCCCCTCCCATTTTTTTTCATCAGAGCTCTTCGCGCCAAAACTACTAGACTATACATATATATGAACGTTTAATTGTAAATAGTAATCAGCTGGAGAAAGTGTAAATATAAACAGTGCAATATCTAGGACGCGGAGGAATTTGTATATACGGACAATAAACTGTGATATTTTGTGATTGTTATTTTGTGTTTGTGGAATTTTTATAATCATGTAAGTACATATTTTATTCTTGTGTATTTTTATTGTTTTTGGCGGTATTTTTTTCATTTTTCGTAAGGACTATTTTTCTTTGTTAACTTAGGTACTACTTTCGGCCCATATTCCAAATTTTGTGTGACCTGTTTTGGAAAATTTAATAACAAGGTAAATTTCTTTATATTTTTACATATATTAAGTAGATTTTTGGTTTAAATCAGTTTCTTTTAAGGAAAATTTTTGATTCTGTCATTAAATAGGACTTGTCATTTGATTTATTTTATGTAAACAACGATAATGTAATTTTGTCACACAATTTCGCAATTTTTCTTATTTTTCTTTAGGTATTTTCGGATAAGCCATAAATTTTGGATATTTTATATTAAATACAAGAAACTTAATTCCATTTCGTTCATAATTTGATAAATCTTTTTTGAAAATACCGCTGCTGTTTATTTGTTATCTGTATATTTTATTTTTGTGTATGTAAAATTAAAATACATGTAAAACTATTTGTCTTATTGATATACATTAACTTATTTTAGTTATCTGGGTCAATACAATAGAATTAATTAGTATAGATATATTTAAATAGATATTTAAGAAAACTTTAGGGTCTTTAAATTATTTGTTTACTTTGAAAAAGATATTTAGAAAAATTTAAGGATCTTGATAACTGTGTTTGTTTACTTTGTGTTTTGAATATATGTATTGCATTCTATTTCTAATCTTTCTATCTTTACTTCTCTACAAACTAACAAATTAACACCCAGAACCAATTCGCGTTTAAGTATTTTTTTTGTTTGTTTGAAAGTGAGTGCGGTCGTGTGATATATTCGGTTTATTTTGTTTTTGGCGTTTGTTTGGTTGGTAAGTCATGTGGTTGGACGGCATAGCAGTATCAAGTCATCTGGTAATTGGTAATTGATTAAGGGTATTAATTTTTGACATTTTTTTTTGTTTTGGCTAAATAAATTCCTTATTTTTTTTCCCAGACATTTTAATTTGAACTGCCCATTTTTTCTTTGGTATATTACTTTTAAGTCATTTAAGTACTGGTTACATCCAGGAATTACAGTGTAATAATTATTCTACATATTTTTTTATAAATTGATTGGGTAGTACTGGTGACAACCAGGAAATACTTAATAAATAAGTACTGGTATTTACCAGGAATTATTTAAGGGATACTGCCCAAATATAACTTGTATATTTATAATATATGTTTGATTATTGACCTTTTGAATATTAAAATGTTTTAGTACTGGTTATCCCAAGGAACTTGTAAAGTACTGACTTATTGGGTATCATTTTTGTTGAACAGTACTGGTTCAAACCAGGAATTTGTGAATTAAAGGTTCTTATATTGGTACAGTTAGTACTTGGTAAAATACAGAGTTACCTTTTATTATTTTTTTTAATGGTGTATTGATCAGGTAAATAGAAGCATTTATACTTGCTTTTCATATTTTTTTGAATACATCAATAAATTTGATTATTGAGTATCATTTAAAATAAACTTATTGGTTTTTCGCCATAAGTTAGGTGTATTTCCCTGGTCTATTTTACCCCAGATTTCCGCTTCAGTGTCTTATTCTTTGTACACTTATTTTTTTTATTTTCTGTTTATTTTATTTATTGACTTTGTTTTCATCTGTCCATTCAATCCCAGGGTCTATATTTTTTCTCTCCATTCATTTTTTTTATATTTTTTTTTCAACCATGGAGTCCAGTGAGAAGTACTTATTTTCAGAAGAAGAAATGATAGCCTTTTTACCCCCTAAATATGACATTTCTCTTAAGAAGATAGCATCTATCTCTTATGTTCAAAGTTCACTTAAGGGTATTGAACAGCGTTTCACTGAACAGCTACGAGGGTTACAGTCTGGTATTGATAGGAGATTAAATATTATTTTACAAAAGGTGAATTCTCTATCATTTTCTCCACAACCTGATCCTCTTTCTCAGTGTTTTTATACTCCACCACCACCCCCACCAGTTGATACATTCAAACATCAAACACCACCTCAAGCATTTCATCGCATATCTAACAATACCAATCGAAGTTGGCGTGGCCATGTAAGGGTATGAATCAAAACAGGGTCATGTTGCTGCGCAACAGGATCTTCCTGCGGCTCAACCCAAACTAGGGTCCGCCTCTGTTGTTGGCCAAATCAGAGGCGGTTATTGAGAAGCAATCACTTGCTAGTAGGATTATTGGATGTTCCAATAAGGCCAATATTGTATTTAATGGTGTTTCAGCCATAGCTCTAGTTGATACTGGCTCATTGGTTTCAACAGTATCAAACTCATTTTATTTGTTATTGTCAAATAGACCGCCACTGTTGAATTTGACAGATTTAAATATAAATTTAGACATTTCAGTTGCAAATGGGCAATCTTTAGATATTTTAGGGTACATTGAAGTTCCGATTGCTTTTACCCGGAATTAAACCTTCAGTTTGCCTGTGCCTGTATTAGTTGTTCCTGATACACATAACAACATATCTTGTCCTGTGATATTGGGTACCAATGTTATCAGGCTCTGTAAACTTTCATCTTCTGATTCAAATTTGTCTCAAGTTTGGCAATCAGCAATCACAATCCAATCACTGTTGCACCGTATGAGTCTATTTCTGTTAATGGTCTTGTTAGAGGTGTCTCTAGTGATACTAAGCTTGTGACTGAAAACCCTGATGCAGATGTTTTATATATTGTTCGGCCACAAAAAGTTTCAGTGTCCAATGAAAGCGGTTATGCAAAGGTGCCTGTACGCATCTGTAATCTGACTGCGAGGACATTGACTATTAAGCCGAAATCTAACATTTGTGTGGTTAATGAAGTCACAGTGCTAGACAACCTGACTTCTTCTCTTTCTGTTTCTAATGGTGTGAACTCTACCTCTTCACAGCCAGATTTATCTTCTCTTGGTTTGAATATTGATACTGAGAATCTGTCCCCTCAGCAACTTCTGCGTGTTCGCCAAGTTTTAGGCAATTGGAATCATGTATTTTCCAAGGGATCAACTGATATTGGTTGTACTGATCTCACACGCCATAGTATTGTTTTAAATGATGACACCCCTTTCAAGCAGCCTTACAGGAAAATTGCCCCTGGAATTTATGAAGAGGTGAGGCAGTACCTTAAGGATATGCTTGATTGCGGTGCCATCAGGCCTAGTGACTCTCCTTTCTCTTCTAATGTAGTTCTTGTTCGGAAAAAGGATGGTTCACTTAGGTTCTGTATTGATTTTAGATTGCTTAACTCAAGAACAAGAAAAGATGCCTATATGCTTCCTCGTTTTGATGACACTGTAGACCTTTTAGTGGGTTCTAAATTTTTCTCTAAACTTGACTTACGCAGTGGTTACTGGCAAGTTGAGATGGAGGAAGATTGAAAGCCCTATACTGCTTTTTCTGTTGGTAATCTTGGATTTTACGAATTCAATAGGCTTGCCTTTGGATTAGTTAATTCAGGTGCTACTTTTCAGAGAGTCATGGAACGTGCCATGGGTGACCTGCTTTTGCGTGAATGTCTTGTTTTTGTTGATGAAATTTTGGTCTTTTCTGAAACTTTTGAGGAGCATATTGTTAGGCTTGAAAATGTTTTTCAACGTTTATCTTCTCATGGTCTTAAACTTAAAGGCTCTAAGTGTGAATTTTTCAAAACGTCCGTTTCTTATCTAGGGCATGTTATCTCTGAGAATGGTATTTCTACTGATCCCGAGAAAACTTCTGCTATTTCTTCTTGGCCAGTGCCTAAGAACATTGCTGAATTAAGGACATTTCTTGGAACTGCAGGTTTTTACAGGAGATTTATTAAGGATTATTCCAAGTTGGCCAAAACCCTTAATGACTTACTTGAGGGTCATGGTAATTCTCCCAAATCTAAGTCCAAGCGTTCTAGAAAGACTGCTACATGGGTATGGGGTGATGCCCAGCAATCTTCTTTTGATATTCTTAAGGAAAAACTTACTTCTCCTCCTGTTCTTGCTTTTGCTGACTTCAGTAAACCCTTTAAAGTCCATATCGACTCGAGTGGGTCTGGATTAGGGGCCGTGTTACTTCAAGAGCAGGATGGTTCAGAGCATGTCATAGCTTAATATGCCAGCAGAGGTTTAAGACGTAGTGAACGTAATTACCCTGCTCATAAACTTGAATTTTTAGCTTTGAAATGGGCTGTCTGTGATAAGTTTCACGACTATCTTTATGGCAACCAATTTCTTGTTTCTACTGACAACAACCCTTTAACTTATGTCCTGTCCTCTGCTAAGTTGGACGCGACAGGTCATCGTTGGATTGCTGCTTTGTCTGCCTATGATTTTGAAATCATATATAAATCAGGCAAACAGAATCAAGATTGTGATGGGCTATCTCGCCGACCACAACTTTTCAGCGATGCTGTCAAGGCAGTGTGCTTTGCTGCTTCTGTCTCTCTTTCTTCTGCTGAATGTTGCTCAGGAGATGAGGTCCCTCATATGGCCAATGAGGAATCTTTACCTTCTGAAGCTGCAGTCAGACCAGTGGATTGGGCGGTAGAACAGTCTAAAGACACTGATATATCTTCTGTTCTTTCCATCCTACGTTCTGGTTCTCGTCCGAGGGGGAGGAGATGTCGAAAGACGTCAAATCTCTTCTTCGTGACTTCTCTTGTCTTTCTATCAAAGATGGTGTTCTTTATCGTACCGCCACTCTGGATGGGGAAAAAGTACAACAACTTGTTATTCCTTATTCTCATAGGAAAGCTTTTACTGGTGTTCATGACAATGTAGGCCATCCCGGACGTGATAAATCTCTATGGTTAGCTCGTCAACGTTTTTATTGGCCTGGCATGGAGGCAGATTTTAATAGTCGCATTTCAGGTTGCAAAAGTTGCAGAATTGGTTCCAATCAAGACTTCAAGACCCATGCAACTTGTGTGTATGGATTTCTTGAAGCTGGAGAAGTCCAAAGGAGGGTATGAGGACGTCTTGGTCATTACCGACCATTTTACCAGATATGCCAAGGCTATTCCTTGCCGTAATCAAAAGGCGACTACTACTGCTCGTGCCTTATATGAACATTTTATTGTCCACTATTCTTTTCCAGAGCAGCTGCATTCTGACCAGGGGCGGAATTTTGGAAGTCGAGTCATCAAGGAACTTTGCAAAATTGCAAATGTTCGAAAGACAAGAACCACTCCTTTCCACCCTATGGGGAATCCATCAGCTGAACGATTTAATCGGACCCTTCTCAGAATGTTAGGTACTCTGGCAGAAGATCATAAATTTAAGTGGGCAGATTTTGTTCCTTCTCTTGTTCAGGCTTATAACGCCACCAAGAACTCTTCTACAGGTGTTTCTCCTCACTTTCTTATGTTTGGATGGCATCCCCGTCTTTCTGTTGATGCATATCTTGGTACTTTTCCTTCTAACTCTGAAAATCTTTCTCCTACTACTTATGTTTCTCGTTTGAAGGAACGCCTTCAATATGCTTATCGGTTAGCTGGTGATGTCGCCAAGAAGCGGGCTGATCAAAACAAGAAGCAATATGACCGTAGAGTTCGCGAGAACAAATTGGGTTGTAGGCGATATTGTTTTGGTCCGAAAAGTCAATCTTCAAGGGCGACAGAAGCTGGCAGATAAGTGGGAGAAGGACCCTTTTGTTATCATTGACATTACCATTTCCTGACCAACCTGTATATAAAGTACAACTTGAGTCTCGAAAAGGTCCTGTCAGAACCCTTCACAGAAATATGCTTCTTCCATTTATTTCTATCCCTGAAGAAGATACATATTTACCTGTTGAAACTAAGCCTAAACCAAAACCTAGACGTGTTCCTATACAGAAAGAGTATGATGCTGATTCTAGCTCTTCTGAATCATCATCTGGTGTATACATCATACCACAGAGGAGATTTCCAGTTACTCGCAGTCGCAATACTCGCGTTGATTATGGACTATCTTCTGATGCTCCTTCTATTTCTATCCCTTCATTTGTTCCCAGGATTCACCCCAATCCTGTGACATATTCCCCAGACAATGTCCAAGTTACTCCAGTGAGTGTACCAGTTACTCCAGTAAGTATTCCAGTTACTCCAGTAAGTGTTCCAGTTACTCCAGTAACTATCCCAGTTACTCCAGTAAGTGTTCCAGTTACTCCAGTAAGTGTTCCAGTTACTCCAGTAAATGTACCAGTTACTCCAGTGAGTAGACCAAGTACTCCAGTGACTATTCCAGTCATTCCAGTACATACGCCCGTTTTATCTTCACGCCCTATCCCACGCCCTAGACGTGTGATACATCCACCGGATAGGTATGGAGAATGGGTATATTTATTGTATAAGGGTGTTTCATTTTTTATGCAGTCATTTTAAATTTCAATGGGTCCTATGAATGGAGGTATATACTATGTATTTATTATTTTCAAGTAGAATTGACAACTCTACTGTATTGCATTATTTCTTTATATTTTACTGTTTAACTATTGCAAAATAGTTATAGGAGGGCAGTTTATCTTAAATAATATGATATATTTATGTCGTCATATGAATATACAGTGTATTGCATTTTTGTTTTTCGAATTAAACATAATGTTATTTTTTGTTATAAATCCAGGTTTGATTAATAATTGTTTAAGAAAATGTCGGTGTCATTTTTAACTAGAGGGGGGAGTGTGTAGATAAGGTTAAATTAAGCCAAGTTCACTTTTTATAATAAATACGGTAGTTATTTCCATGAAAGGCCAACCAAATCTATTGTGGTGTTATGTGTTCAGGTTTGTCTTTGTTCCTTTTGTATGGGTGATTGAACTGGTTTTGCAAGTTGAGTGATGGATGATTGGTTTTGGTATGCAAGTTATTTTTAGACGATTTGGTTCTGGAATATAACATTTCTTGGTAACTCAGACCACTCCTTGTCTCGCTTTCGAAGTGAAAACAGCTTTAAAATATAGTTTACTCTCAGTGATTTCTTAATAGAAATACTTGCTTATATATTCAATTTATTTATTCAACTAGATTTCTTCTATTACAAGCCTGGTATGTATATTTGTATATATTTATTTGTGAAATTGTTTTTATTGTAATGTGAATTGTTGTGTAATAATTGTGTATTATGTATTTTGTGAAATGTATTTGTATTGTAAAATATTTGTTTGTATTGTGATGTCTCATACTTATTTTATTTGTTACAGGTTTTATTCTATATAGAATAAATCTTTAAACGTTTCCAAGTGTTTCTTGTTGAAAACCCCACCACTACATTCATGATGGGTATTATCTTTAATAAAATTACAAATGGAGAAAATAAGGATCCCTAAATAAGCCCAACACGGCAACATTGAATGTTGTAGACTTGGTTAGATTGAGTTTGTTGATGGACGTTATTGTTATATTCACGTCCCCGAGCATCGGTTTAAGCAGAATTCAACATTCATCATGAAATGGTACAATTTTGAATTTTGAAACATCCACAGATGTGTTCATATGGCGGTTATCATGGAACCTTCAATGTGACATTAAGTGTCATTCTATGAAAAGCGGCATATGGTCCCCAAGTAGAAAAAAGCGTGTGCCCTAAACGAGAAAACAATGGGCGGAACTAAATAAAATGGAATTATGAATGAGGATCAGAGGTTATGAAGCCTGCATATCACAGATAAGACGTCAAAAAACAAATTTATAAAAGCAGGCCACATATCCTTAGGGTTCAAGTTAGGAATACTAGAACCACTCAACAAGAAAATAGCTGAATAGAAAAACCTAAATTACCACAAGCACTACAATAATGTTGTGCTGAACGATCTTTAAGGATCGGAAATAAAACATCTCTGATTGAATGTACGGGGCGACTTATTACTGCCTCCACACGGCGGCACAAACAACTCTGATGTGGCGATAAAATAGAGAAAATAAGCATCTCTAAAGAAAGCCAATCACAGCAAAATTGAAAATGTTGCAGACTCGGTTTGATTGAGCCTGTTCATGGACGGTACTGTCAAGTGCAAACTACCGTCCATGCCCTTCCCCCCCCCCCCCTAGCTTTAATCAAAGAACAGAAGGCGCTGGATTTGTTTGGGTCTCAGAATGTCAGAAAGGTGAAGGTTATGAGATTATAAACCAATTTGTTTTTGTAAAGTGCCACCAATGGCTGTAAGACTAATTGCAACACTTATATTCAATTCAATGTTTATTTGATTTAAACAATTTAAAAAGATGAGTTGCATTAATAGGGTTTGAACTCCAGACCTCTCGATTCCTAAGCGAGCGACTATTCTGGAACTATTTTGTTGAAAATTAATGCGCCCGTCATTTGACAATCTTAACGTTTTGATGCCCCCTGAATTTTTCGGCGTTAGCGTACATATAAAGGGAAAAACCGATTCAAAAAAAAAATATTTCGGCATTTGCAATTTACAGCATCAGGGTCAGAAATTTCGCTACCATTATTTGTTTGGTCTGACGACCCGAACCAATAAAAACTGTTATTTACCACTTAAAAACTATTCACATCGAAATGGCATGAAACCAATACTTGTTTTACAACATTTCATATCATAGATTGACTTTCAAAATAAATGTGTATCAAGCCTACTGCGGCTTGTATTATATGGAAATCTTCAATTTACCATATGAATAGTAAATTTGACACATGTGTTTCACTTTACACATCTCGAATTCACCATGTCAGGCTTTGAAAAAAATACCGCAATTCTTCTTAATATGTTATTGACAAGACTGATCGTTAAACAAAAAAGGTGACTCCCTTGTGACATCCGGGAAGAGTAATAAGTGACTTCACCGCCATAATTCTCAGCACCTCAGATAGAAGGCCAATAGATGATACTACATACCAAACTTGAATACCATACTTCCCAGTGTTTGACAAGCCATTTTATTTATTTGGCCAATTTTGAGCAAAAAGATATTTTAAGATATTGCTTTCATTTGTAATTTGGGATCTGTTTGTCGTGAGGAAAAAGGTTTGTCTAAGAAATTATTCTCTCACGATATAAAGGATATTGTAAAGATTGGAACAAAACAAACAAACAGTACTTGAATATAAAATTTTAATTGATAAGTTAAGATATGATAGCATATATATATTTTTCTTTAATGATATAAAATTAAAGAAAATTAAACTAAATATAAAATTGAACTAATTTCTTGTAATTGCGACGAAAATTGGTGCAAGCATTGTGCATAAACAATTCCGTTTAATTATGACCAATATATAATACATTTTTTTTGTAATCAAGACATGTTCCTACACCTTACATAATTTAACAACCATAAAACTAATAAATGTTTAACCTGTGACACAAACCCTCCGAGCAACAACTAAACGACGTCATTTTAACGCGGTTCATGCATAAAGTGGATAAAGTGCGCTAAAATGACGTTGTTGTTTGGCACGCGACTCATTTGGCACCCACCATGCCAGATGGAATTTCCGGCATGGGTAAAACTCACGGAAACGAAAGTCTGCTATGCAAGACAAAAAAGTAATACGTGTTTTAACACTGTCGGATAAATCATAATCGCGCCAGAAATATGAAAGTAGTAGCAGTAAAATAATAAAAAGGAATACATCACTGATTATTTCTTTGCAACTAATCAACAGGAGTGATTCTATTGATCCTGGGGTCAAATGACCTGGCAGTGAAGAAACTTTGTTAATACATCTTTTATGTATACGTCTAACATATTATATTTTCTGGAGATTTAAAGCCATCAAACATTGTGATTCCTTTCAGCAACAAACAAACAGTTTCATTGTCCTCACTTAATGAAAATCTGCATAAGGTGTGATCAACATCGCCTTGTAAGAAGAAAGTTTCATTTGTTTTATTAGCTCTTAATTAATTACTTAACTTTCTGATAGAAATTAAAAACTTTTCTCGTGAATGAATTTTATGACTAACATCATTGAAAGAATCATTTACAGACTTAACAAAGATCAGTAGAAGAACAACAAAGTAAAACACGTCTTCATAGTTTTAAAACAAACCAAGAATTGTCAAAAAGACACACTCGACATATTACTCAATCATAATTACAAATAGAACGCATAATCCAAATTTGTTCCAAGAACAAATAACGCTGAAAACTATATATAACCTTTGCTCTTTATGTGAACATTTAAAGTTGTTATTACAAGAACAAAGAAATGTGCGGCTTGTATTACATTGAAATATTCGTTTTTTGTGTCCCTTTTACCATATGAACAAAACTTGGACACATGTTTTTCACTTTACACCTCCCAAGGTCACCATGCCAATCTTTCAAATTCTTCATTTTTATGCTACTGGCAAGACTGACCGACAATCAACAGACTGACTTCTATGTAAACCTCCCAAATAAATTCCGGGAAGGGTCATAAGTGACTTTACCGCGATAATTTTCAGCATCTCAAAAAAAAGGCCACTAGTTGATGCTACATACCAAACATGAAAATCCCATACTACCTAGTAATAGTCAAGAAATTTTATATTTCTTTCCAGTTTTGAGCAAGAAATATTTTAAGATATTGATTTCAATTGTCATTTAAACTAGAATTTGTGTGGGATTGGTTTGTTGTCAGGAAAAATGTTAGTCTAAATCTCTTCTTTACTAAAGTAAGATATAAAGGATATCGTAAAGATT